TTCCTCTCACCGTCGTGTAGGATGATTAAAACACAGGCGTCCTTCACTGAAACATGACCCACTCCAACAGGCCGCAGGCTTGACCGACTGCCCACACACTCACCCAGTCAGCTGTGTAATTCAATAACCACCATCACCCATGCAGATGTAACAAGACATTGCAGTTCTAAAGAGACAATTAGCTTGTACCATCTTAAAGCCTTGCAGCTCATTAGTCCTGATGGCCGCTCTACCCACCCCGACACTCAGACTGGAGACATCCAGCCGCCACTTGCAGGTTTCAACAGAGACTGATGAGGGAAGTAAAAAGGCCTGAGGGACCTTTCTGTCCACAGAGGGAGAGGGTGATGTACATTATAGCATGCTCAAAGAAATATTCCTGCAGAAGACTGTAGCTGTTTAGTTGCAGGGGAGTAAAATAAAGCATTAAAAGTATGTCCATGTTCATAAATATTTAATTTATAGTCTATCCAACATGAGTAGCTGTGAAAGGAGAAGAGCAGTCCAGCCTAGCTCGGTGCACAGACAGAAACAAACACACGGCAATGGATCAGAAAGGAAATACATGTGTAAAGAATTTCAGAAGGTTCTTTTCGGTGCAGGGGTGATTCAAAAAAGAAAATAAACCAAGTTACCAAGTAAAAAAATCCAACCTGATCAAGGCCAGTGTGCCGCAACATGTGAATTTTTTATGCATCAGCCTCACTTATAAAGGCATTTTCCATTTTCCACAGCCAGAGTGCCTTGGTCCATTACCTTCACTTGCATCAACACAGCAGTAGATGCATTTACAGATCTGTGATGTTAAGGACAACAGTGTTTTCGATGGATCTGTAATTGCCTCCATGTGGTTGGCAAACATTTCTTTTTAAAACTCAGTTTGATCCACATCAGGACTCAAGGATGGTTTAAAGCAACTGTTGTATATAATAATAAAACTTTATTTATAATGCAAGTTTATAAAGTGCTTCACAAACAAGAAAGAGAACAATCACATACACAAAGACATGGTAAATCTAAGTAAAAGCCATGTTATAAAATCAATATATAACTGTTGTTCAGCTGAACTATCTTGAAGTTTGCGACAAAACTAATTCAGGGGTTTATTATTTTACAGTGTATTCACTGTTTCAAAGTCTCAAAAATGACATTTTATATAATACATGTTTATATACAGTGTGTTGATTAGAGAGGGAGCGATAAAGAGGAGCACCACAGTCTCTCTCAGTATCTCTGCTCTTTCTATTAAAAGTACCTGAGCTCAGCAGTGATAATCTCTTCCTGCCTTTATTAGCTGGATCCAGGCCTTTGTCCAGCCTCTGACGGACTGACAGACACGGGGTCACATTTTTCTGCGTGAAGCTTCCAGGCACAGAACTGCAGAACAGACTTTAATCACCACAACCACATGTTAACTTTAAAATACTGCATATTTGATTAAAAAAGAAGCCTCGATGCATTAAAGCTTTTTTAGTTTTCACCATTCTCCACATAATTCCTCTATTTCCCCTCGGACAAACTCAAACTATTTTCTTTACTGTACCAATCTATCTATACTCTTTTCCTCCCCGAACAGCCCTGACAGCTCCACATGCTGTAAATGTGTTTTACATTTCATACAGCAGCATGCTTCTCATTCCTGACTCTTGGGGGAGCCAGAAAAGACTCACACTGTACAGCCAGGCCCCTTTTGTCTCTGAGTGACCTACATTCACACAACAGTGAAATGCTAACAGGGCCGTGTGTCTGCTGAGAGCTGCAGTCTGGATTCTCTCGGGGAAACGGTCAAGAGAACGATTGAGACGCATTAGATTCCACCTGAGCAACAGCAGCGATAGGATAAAAACAACTCCATGTGTTTTATTGAGCTGAGTCATGTGATCTTGGTCTAAGAGACAATTAAGTTTTATAAATGTTTACAGTCGTATTACGTGCATACCACAACGTGATTTCTGCCATTATTCAATCCAAGTCCTAAAATGAAGACAGCAGCTGATGACAATTTCTATCAGTATCATCAACTTGTTGGACTATAAAATGTCAGACAGTAGTAAAAACTACAGTAAAGGACAAAGTAATGTCATTAAATTGTTTGTTTAGTTCGACCAACTATCAGAAACCCAAAGAAAATTCCCTTTATTATCATGTAATGTAAAGAGAAACCTGCTTATTTTCAATTTAGCCTAAAAGATTATAGAATTATTTATCAAAATAGTTACGTTAGCTGAAGAAAATACATAACTATAGCTTCAAATAACATTAAAAGTCACCTTGAATAATGCCACAAATCTGAGTATTCAACATGTGATCACTGATTTATGAGGGTGAATTTAACCTGTAATATCCAGACATCCACAAATAACAAAAGATGAGATTAGTTATTTTTTTAATGCAAAAGAAAATAAATCAAGAAGGCCTTCAGGAATGGGGTCAAGACTTTAAGGTATTTTAGGAGATTTCTTTTGGTTTATTCTCTCAACATTTTTCTTAGTTTTGGACACTGACAATCTTGAATCTTCTTTTCTTTTTAGTTTGACCCTCCGGTTTTATTTAGGCTATATTTCATGAAGCAGAGTACAATCACATTTTACAAGTTTCAGCATAACACTGTTCAACCAGTGAAGCTGCACCACTTGATTTGGGTGAGCCCATATTTCCTCTGACTTGAAGCCTTGGTGTTAATCACTTTACACAGGCAGAGTGCATTAGCTGCAGATGGATTGTGTAGATTTAGACTAAGCCACTTACTGCAGAGTAGATTATTTCGCTGCTGCACATTCATTTTCATTTTCCCTGTCATTGTTGTGTGATTGTATCAGGTGGATGACAAGGCGGCATCCTCTGTAAGAGACAGACCCACATCAACAAACTGATGACATGACAGCGCTCATTCTTCTCCACTGCACCATGATTTTTTTTTCACCTCTGCAAATATTTGCAGCATCTTGATTATCTTGATAAAAAAGACAGAGTAAGGCACAAGGGCAGGATTTGATGAGATGAATAAAGCATTGAGTGCTGAAGAGGTATTTTTCATTCCGATGAACTTGCACTGATGCTTACACTGGCTGCATGTGCATTCTGAAGAAAAAATATGATGTTGTTGTCATGGCAACAACATACATAGCTAATAATTATATCCCTATATGCCTGTACATATAGACACAGATAATATAGAAATATAATAATGGTAGATAGATAGATGCATAGATAGATAGATAGACAGACAGACAGAGAAACAGATAGATAGACAGATAGACAGACAGACAGACAGACA